GGTCAAAGGTCGGAACAGCCTGTACTTCCAGCGATTCCTGGTGAGTAGTACGGTGGCCAGGAGGTGAAAACCAAAAGGCAACTGATTTGTTCTTTTCTTTAGTTAAAATACAGCATGCTCTTGTGGGAACTAACCCCAGAGCAGTCACACTATTAGTTCTTCAGCTCCATTTTTAGTCAGAGTTATGCTTCTTTCTTTTATTTAAAAGTATTTTTTATTTTTTTTACCTTGTCCTGTTCAGCATTATGGCAGCAGAAATAAAATCTAAGTACCAAAATAGCTTTTCCAAGGGAGGCTTTGTTAGTGAGAAGCCCCAATTGATTACCCAAAACTGTTTTATTTATTCATTTTTGTTACCAAAATTACATGTGTCCAATAATGAGAGCAGTGGAAAGGAGAGAGATCCTTTAGACAGACGGAGAAAGGGGAAAAAAAGAAAGACAACAAGACCGTACAACCAACTGCCATGTCTGTAAAAACGACACTGATCCTTTTGGGTGGAGAACCCGTAGGAGCTCCTGCAAAAGGACACAGGGAAGACAAAAGAACAAACAAAAGCAACAGGAAGCAGGAACAATCATCAACTTCTCTGAATTGTGCAACTGAACAGAGTTATGGTTCCTTCTTAAATGAAAAAATCATCTTTACTTTTTGGAAGTTCGAGTACTTATTCAGGAAAATACGCTTCTACTTTTAGCCGTCGCATAAATGGATGGATGTAAATAACAGCTCGGCCTGCTCTGTTTGTTGTGTTTCACACTTGCTTTCAACCTTTGGACAAACCGTTCTAAAACACCTTAAACAGTTTCTTAATAGTTCCCAGTCATGCACTCAAATCTTATTGTTGTGATGTCATTAACTGAACGTGTGTTTATGTGTTTTGACTGATATTGTATTGCGGGATCTTGTGTTGTTTTCTCTTCCTGCCTCAGGTCGACAGATGTAAATTAGCAACTATGCTATAATCTGGCTCATTTACAATCTGTACAAAATCAAAACATGGAATACATTACCTGCAGAACTGAAGGGAGAGTCAAACTGGGTCCTTTTTAAACATAAACTTAAAGACTTTTTATTGAGAGGTCAGACATGTGGACATTAATAATCTAACTGACCTGATCTTGTATCTGTGATGTTTTAGTGTGTCATTTGTCACTGTGTTTTGTGTCAAAGCCTAACTGGGGACAGGCGTTGAGAATTAGCCTTAGCTAAAATGCTATAGTGTGTGACATGTTTCATGAAACATACTTGTCCCTATCAAATACAGGACTGTCTCAGAAAATTAGAATATTGTGATAAAGTTCTTTATTTTCTGTAATGCAATTAAAAATCATGAAATGTCATACATTCTGGATTCATTACAAATCAACTGAAATATCGCAAGCCTTTTATTGTTTTAATATCGCTGATTATGGCTCACAGCTTAAGAAACCCAAATATCCTATCTCACAATATTAGAATATCGGATTTTTGAGTTTTCTTCAGCTGTACGCCATAATCGGCTACGTTAAAACAATAAAAGGCTTGCGATATTTCAGTTGATTTGTAATGAATCCAGAATGTGTGACATTTCATGATTTTGAATTGCATTACAGAAAATAAAGAACTTTATCACCATATTCAAATTTTTCTGAGACAGTCCTGTAAATAAAACAAAATAAAAATAAATACAGGAGTAAAAGATTGTTCATTAAAGTGCACTGTGTCCTGATTAAATAAATAAATGAATAAACGCCTGTCCCCGACAGGACACCTGCACCCGGGCCTACCTGTCCCTGCGGGCCCACTCCCACCTGCTGGTCACGCTCTTCTCCCTCATGCTGCTCACGGGCATCCCGGAGCTGAGCGCCGCCGAGGACATGCGCTACCTGCGGGGGGCGCTGCAGGAGGAGCAGAGCCCGGCCGAGGCCCGCCAGCACTTCCTCCAGCAGGTGTCCGCGTGCGAGGACCGGGGCTGGACCGTGCAGGCCAACTGGTGGATCCACATGATGGCCGGCATCAAGTAGACCCCTCGGTCTGGGCCCCCAACGGGGATCAAATGTTTGTTTTTCTTGGATTGAGGAAGCCATTTGTTTTTCTCTGTTTACCTTAGAGACTTCTTTTTTTTTTCCTCTCTTAAACATTACGTCAAACTGCAGATATGTAGCCTCAACCCTCTCTGAAATCTACATATAATAGGAATTAAAGGAAATAGGGGAAATCCTAACACCTCACAGAACACGGTAAAAAAGGAAATAGGTCATTTATGCATGATTGTTAAAAAAAATAAGTATCATTTTTTTCTGTAGGCCTTCAATAAATTGCAGCATTCTGAAAATGCCAACAAAACCAAGCTCCTTCTTTTATAAGCAATAAAACATGTGCATTTATTTATGCAGAGGTCGTATCTCTTTAACTCTATAATGCCAAATGTATCATATTTGATAGATACGGTTTCTGAAGTCTTTTGGATCTGAGACTTTTTTCATCATTCAGTGGTAAAAGCTTTGCTCAGACCCCTGTTGTACACATTCAGATATACCTGATAACAGCCAGTATAAGACTAAGCCAAAATATATTTTTGACTTATTGCACGCTAATTTGATCCAAATAAATTCTGTTTTTTTTTTTTCTTCATATGTTGTTGACGGGCCAAAGAAAGACTTAAGACTAAAAAAAATCCAATATTCTTCCTATTTTTCTTGGATCAGGCTTTAAAGGGTTAAATGTAGAATCAATCTCTGACTGGTTTATGACACGCTTTGGTTTGAAACAGGAGGCGTGCATGGCTAGTTTTACAGAGAAACTAAGATATCAAAACTAAGGTGCACGAGAGGGAAGATGGCCACTAAGACACTAAAGTTAACCGAGTTCAATTACTCTGGAATTTATGGACGAAGCTGTCCTCTCATTTATAATTAACGATGCATCAAAGGGGCGAGTGCAGTGTGCCCGGGGTGGACATATCAAGAATGAGTTTGACCCAATTATTTGTCCATTTTGAGCGTTTAGTGCACTCTGAGTGTGTCTGAAAATTATCAGCAATATGAGCCATTACAATCCAGCAGGCCGGAAATTGCCAACACAACCTTGAAGGCACCACATGTTGAGTAGAAGAACTGAATTCACGACGATGAAAAGGGAAGATTGGCCTTAATAACTCTCACACAAGTCAATTTAAGGGGCCTTGCAGTTACATTACAGCATAAAGAATTATCATCAGACAAATTAAAAGTGAGGAGTGAAGATCTAATACCTCCAATATTTTGAAATAACCAAAGAAAAGAGTTACGGCTGAGGATTCCCACATTTGAAAAGCAGGGCCATGGTGGAAGTGCTTCATTTCTACAGTGTTTGGGTGGATTCCAACGAACTCATCAAGCAAAATAAAAAATCCAAAGTCAAAATTTGGAGTTATTGATGCTTCTGTTCCACAGATATGTTCTGTTCTGTGTGGACACGAGCATCACATACTAAGTGTTAATCATTTGGAAGACATTTTGGATGGAAATATGTCCATCCAGACTTTCAATGACCGGACAGTTCATGGAAAAATATTAGACATTTTTCGAGGTAATTCGGCTCAGGTCTTTAGATCTATTTTTAACCATGTACATTTGTTTTTTTGTATGTTTTGATGTAATGCTTTGGTGCTTGTATTTCAGGACAGTCCTCCTAAGTGGTCGATGATTATGGATTCCAGCCATTCCTGGGCTTCTTTTTGCTCAAGCTGCCCTCCTAATGCTGCACTTCAAGGATACTTTTCTGTCCTAATGTGTGTCTTTATCTCATGTTTCTTTTAGTTCAAACCTGCTCGAGTGTAAAAAACATTTCTTTGTTTAGGCTTCCTATTGACATGTCCCTACAGTGGAAAAAATAAAAGAATGTACCAAGGACTTCGGTGGTGGTTTAACTCTCATGATCTATATTTTTATATTTCATGTCACTTATTACTTGACTATGAACAGTTAGTTCTGAACAAATGCAAACAAAAAACCATCTGCCGCCCTAATCTATATGGAAGCAGATGACAACCCCCCCCCCCCCCCCCCCCCCCCCGCACCACCACACAAAGATACTTCGTACAGCAGACTGTCCTTGTGGCTGGCGGCTGGTTGGGGACACGTGATATCGGTCAACTTGGCTGGCACCATAAAATGAGCTCGATGATGGAGACTGTCATCATCTTTTGATCATTCCCAAGGTACAAATCCTCCCCCCTTTAAGAGGATGAAACCGGTCTCATCTCTCCCTTAAAAATCCTGTTTGCGAATAAAAAAACACAAAACATGGATGTGGAATAAGAAATAGAACGCCTCTTGGATTATGCTGTGGAGATTCATAAATAAAAACAATTACAATTAAGAGCGCATTAAATAATCCTCATTTAACAAAAGCTTCAGTTATCATAAATCTGCCTGGCAAATTGTGTCCACGTGTGACTATTGAATCTACTATTTACTATTTAATCTGCTAAAATAAAAACGAAAAGTCTCCTCTTTGGTCTGCTCTGTCCAGATGAAATTGCTCCAGAAGTCTTCTGGTTTCTTATACAGATAAAACGCGTTACTGATGGGAGGAAGAGGCTTTCTCCAGGTAACTGTTTCAAATAATTTGCACTTATTCAGTTCTTTTCCAACTTAAGTCGTGGTTTTTTTCTCTCTGTGGAGCGATGGACTCTAGAGGGCGTGGAAGAGGCCTTGGAATCCACCTAGTTAGGCAGATGAGCAGTTTTTCTAAGGTTTTTGTTGATGTCTTTCCTCCTTGGCAGTGTCAGACTGGTCAAACTTTCCCTTCTATGGAGGCCTTACAGTCTGAGTTCCAATCACCTGCTGCCACTTTATTCTAATGGAGGGAGATTTCCACTCACAGCTTCTGCGCTTTGAAGTAAAACATGAAAAAGAGGAAAACAGGATGTTTTGCCAAACCACTTTACGGTGAGACATCCTGTTAACAGTCATGGTTAACTTGGGTTTTCGGACCAGCAGCACCTGCGCGGGTGGGTGGGCTGAGCGGTGGGCTTGGCCTCGCCGGGGTGGAGCCCCACCTGTCCCTGCCTTCCGGGGCCGTCCCGTGAGGGGCCCTGCCCCGGTAACCCCTCCCCCCGGCCGGGGCCCGCGGCTCCGGGGGGGTTATCCGCCACCAGAACCGAGGACAGAGCTCATTCAGCGGGCGCGCAGCCGCGAGTGGACGGCCCATCCCGGGTGTGTGTGCGTGCGCGTGTGTGGGAGTGTGAGTGTGTGTGCGCGCGTGTCTGTGCAAGGGAGTGGGGGGGGGGGGGGTGCACACGGAAAGCGAAAGGCAGAGAGGGAAATAGAGGGAAAAGCCCCCGAGCAGGTGAGCCATCCTTTCTAAGTTGCGCTTTTACGCATCGTCTGTTCGGTGGAAGCCACAAGAAGCGTTTCGAGTTCAGGCAATATTCCTGACGCCCAGTTCGGGTTTCCCGAGAGCAGCGAGTTTATTTGTGTCGTTAAAAAACAAACAATACAAAAAAAAACTAAAACAAAATAGGACCTGGTGTTGTTTTTTTATGTTTCTGTTTCAACCAAAATGGAAATATCTCCAGTTCTCTTTGCGCAGACGATCTGAGGAAGTGTTCCTGTGCTCTTCTGATTTTGAACTTTGACTATTGAAAACCTGGTGTTCCGGTAGGTGTCCCTGCCCCGGGGTGAGGTTTCTGTAACTTAGAGATGGGTAACAAAACCGAGCCCCATGACAAAGGTGTTGGTGTTCTTTTACTGAGAGCTCTGATGATTTTACCTTGCGCAGATATTCAGAGGAAGATTACATAATGAAAGGTTCAGTTACCCAGGTGACAGAAGTTGTTCATCATAGGTTATTTCTTATGTAAAAACACTGAAAAATACAAACTGACTCTCGCATTATAAAAGAATGAAAGAAAAAGAGCATTTTCACCCTTTCTGGGCTTATGCTTTTACACTTTCATTGGTTGTGTGGGCCTGCATTGTAATTAGCACCAAATAACCACGCGGGCACGTTTGAATCCCAACCAATATATATATATATATATATATATATATATATATATATATATATTTATATGCATTTAATAAATGGAGTGCCAGATCTTATTTGGCCGGAATTAAATACCCTGACCGGAGAAACCTTGGAATATTGATAGATTTTGTGTTTGGTACGTTACACAACTTTTTCTGCTTCTTAAGGCTTTTAGCAGATTTTACAACTTTGGATTTGCTTCACATAACCCAATAACGCCATCGGCATCATATCCGACACATGCGGTTTCTGAAATGTTTTGCATCTGAGACTTTTTGCATTATTTAATGGTAAAAACGGTGCTCAAAACCCTGCTGTGCACAGTCAGATAGACCTGAGAACAGCAGGCAGAAGGCTAAAAAACGACAATTTTGACGTATCGCATCGTAATAAATGCTGAATATACAGCAATGATTTCATTCTTTCATATAATTGAATATTATTCATATATTTTTAAATATGATCATATGTTGTTAGAGGGCCAAATAAAGACTTCAAACAAAAAAAGGGGTAATTTTCTCTTTTTTTTTCTTGGATTAGGCTTTAAGGGTTGAAACACAATTGGGAGATTTACTGTATAGCACCGTTAAACAAAGTAGGACCAGATGAATTCATCCATCCATTTTCTTGTTCTGGCTTTTTGGACTGGTGTTTGAAACCACCTGTTGCCATGGTGCCTGAGCGTTTCTCTGGTTTGTCCCCTCCCAGCTGGAGTCGTCGGTCTTCCCGGTGGTGGAAGATGTTGCTGGCTGCTCTGTGGTTGTCCAGTATATAAGGATTACATATTCATTAATTCATTTTGTGGGTTGACAGTTAATCTGACTGGGGCTCAATGTTTTGTGTCCATACTGGAAATAATGTCATTCTCATCTTTCGGGTTATTTCTAAAAGGGCAGATGTGGAACCGTGTGGATTTAGTGACTAAAATACCTTGTTTTTCTTTACGTTATTTGTCTTTTAGTCTCTGCTTTGCAGTGCACTGACAAAAGAGACAGACCGTCTCCAAGAATCATTTCGATATCTGTCACTTTCTCT